TGATGTTTTCAGAGAACTATCCATGATGACTCCAAGATCTCTTTCTTAAGGGGTAACAGATAATTTAGACCACATCAGTTTTATGTATAGATGAGACCAAATTATCCAATATGCATTACATTGCATCAATCAACATTGAATTTCATCTGCCATTTGTCACCCAGTGACCCAGTTTTTTGAGATCCCTTTGTAACTCTTCTCAGTCTGCTTTGGGCTTAACTATCTTGAATAATTTTGTACCAGCTGCAAAAAATTTGTATCGTTTACACCTTTTTCCAGATCATTTACAACTATGTTGAAGAGCAGTGGTCCCAGTACAGATCCTTGGGATACACAGCTATTTACTTCTCTCACTGTGAAATTTCCCTTTGCACACAATCTGCCTGTGTTCACATTCAGATTCTAGTACAAAGTCCACCTCTTTGCTTAGGTATTTGTCTCATGAGTTGATAATGAAAGAAAGTTTATTTTTTCTTGGTGTTGTTGTTTCTCTCCTTCAAGTCTTGGAGCATTCATGGAGTCCAGACTCTCTCTTCTGGTTTTGCCAAAATCCAACCTTAGTTCGCTTCATGGTTTGCACTATGAGTCCTTTTCACTGTTTGTCTGAAAATTATCTTTGGCTTTCTTGAATTGCTGGAACAGTTGCATGATTTCAACCTAGGGTTACCCACTTCCACACACACACCCTGGCAGTGGAGGAGTCTGTCATACAGCTTTTTTGAGGCCCTCTTTATGGCAGTTGTAATATTTATCAATTTGCCTGTATTCGCTGTATTGGATTTGGTTGTCAGCCTATGCCCAAACCAGTATTTCTAGGTCTCGGGGGTTTGTTATTATTTTATTGTTATAGAAATATTTGATATTTTAATCGGGATGAATCCAATAAGATACTATAGATATTAAATACTCTACAACAGCGGTTTTCAACTTGTAGTCCGCAGACCCCTGAGGGTCCGTAGACCATGTCTAAGATTTCCAAAGGGGTCCGCACCTCCATTTGAAATTTTTTTAGGGGTCCGCAAATGAAAAAAAGGTTGAAAACCACTGGCCTACAAAAATTATAAAATGTAATAGAAAAATGTACTTCTTATAGAATTGGCCAAATTTCCCTTTGCACACAATCTACCTGTGTTGACATTCAGAATCTAGTACAAGGTCCACCTCTGTGCTTAAGTATGTCTCATGAGTTGTTAATGAAAGAGAGGTTATTTTTCACTGAGATCATATGGGGATGAATACAGATTGGACATTGGAGAGAACATTGGCTTCATTCCCATTCCCAGTGTCAAAATAACCACTGACTTTCAAGAGGGCAGGATAGATACTCTACTATATGTAAAGCCTGACATTCAGATGTGCAGAACAATGAATCAAAAGTCTCATTGAGTCAGAGTTTAAATGACTTAGGAACAAAAGTCCCATTAATTTTCTATAAGGCCCCTCTTTTCAAAATTATGTCACTGTGCCGAGGGAATGTTTTCTTGTCACATTCAGTTCTTCTTCTTCTTCTTGAAAAATCCTAATGATTTTAATAGGTAAGAATCCAAGTATATACTACAGATATTAAATCATGTTTCCAACAAAATAATCTGGAACATGTGACAGAAAGTAATAGAGAAGGAAATTCTTTTTATATATTTGGCAACATGCCCAGCTATTGTAAATTGGCCATAGTTTCATTAGAGGCAATCTGCCAGTTCCCATGCTGGTGTACCTCAGTTGTAGCTCTGCTGAAGTCACAAGGCCAGAGAGAGAGAGAGAGAGAGAGAGAGACTGTATTGCCTGGTGGTTAGAGACCTATCCCAGATGCAGTAGACCAAGTATCCAGTAACCCTGCTCTGCTTCCTCTCTAATATTTTAGCTAGATTGCATCAGCTTAAAGAGGATAGACTTAGGGAGCCCCAAATCAGCCTGTATGCTAGTTCAAGCTGAACAGGTCTTTTGTGAACACCAATGGGGCCAGATTCTGCAATTTAGGCAGCTAAATTGGCAGTTAGGTGCCCAAGTCCTTTTGTGTATCCAGCATGTTTTGTCTATTTAAAACACACAAAATATATCTCGCTTCTCTGTTTCTCTCTCTCTGAATTTACTATACTTATAATACACATTGTACATCCTGGACTAGGGCTCTCTTTACATTCATGCTACTGATCAGATTAACTTCATGTGCTGTTTCAATTTACTTTTATTATAAATGCTAATCTGTTTCCTGTAACCTTCCAGGTTACAGTTTTCCTGAATAAATGCCAATGAAAAATCAAACCACACTGACTGAATTTATTCTCCTGGGACTTTCCAGTGACCCACAGTTGCAGATTTTCCTCTTCTTGGTGTTTTTAGTTATTTACCTAATCACTCTGGCTGGTAACATAGTGATCATGGTGGTGATAAGGGCTGATTCTCACCTTCACACTCCTATGTACTTCTTCCTCTTCCATTTATCCTTTGTTGATATCTGCTATTCCTCAGTCACGGTGCCTAACATGCTGAGGAACTTCCTAGCAGCACACAAAACTATTTCTGTCAATGGCTGCATTGCTCAGATGTTCTTCATCCTCCACTCAGGTGGTGCTGAAATTCTCATTCTCTCAGCCATGGCTTATGACCGCTATGCTGCCATCTGTGACCCATTGCGTTACATGGAGAGAATGAGCAAAGGGATCTGTGTTCAGCTGGTGAGTGGGGCATGGGCAATAGTTTTAGTCCATGCCCTGCTTAACACTGTTTTTACCTTCAAGTTGCATTTCTGTGGGCCCAATCAAATCAGCCATTTCAGCTGTGAGCTCCCTCCTCTGTTACAATTGTCCTGCACTGACACCCTCACCAATCAAGTGGTGCTTCTTACTTCTGTTGTGATATTTGCATCAAGTGCCTTCCTCCTCACCCTGATCTCCTACATTCACATTATCTCCACCGTCCTGAGGATACGCTCTGCGGAGGGCAGACGTAAAGCCTTCTCCACCTGCAGCTCCCACCTTATTGTGGTTGGCTTGTTGTACCTGACAGGTTTTCTCCAGTACACAAAGCCCAGCTCGTTCTCCTCTGTGGTGCTGGATGAAATATTCTCCATCGAGTACTGCATCTTGACTCCCATGTTAAACCCTATCATCTACAGCCTGAAAAACAAGGAGGTGAAAACAGCTGTAGGGAACATGTTAGGGAAATTCAAATTTCTCAAGTAGTGTCAATCTTATTTTTTTAAAAAAGTACACAGAACTGTGGATAACGTGTGTTTGGGAGATTCTCTGTTCAGGTATCTGACACTTGGGGCTAAAGCCTCAGCTGATCTAAATCAGTGTGGCTCCATTGAACTCACATCCTCATTGGGTAGAAGAGACACTGGAGCAAAAGGGACAGGATCCTGGGTCTCCATCTAGGGTGAGTGCTAGAAGCACCACAATCTAGAGCCATTCATGCACTCTCTCTCTCTCTCTTTGGGCCAATATCTCTTTAAATCTGACCCACTGACGTCTATGGAACTATGGCCAATTTATACCACTTTGAGGATCTGGCCAGTTCTATGAAAAGAATATCTTTGTCTATTGCATTGTGTAGTTCTTCTAGAGTATTTTGATGATAACCCTATTTAATATCTGTAGTATCTTATAGGGTTCATCCCTATTAATGTCTCTGAGTGTGATTCCCCAGCTTGGCCAAGATGCACAAAGAAATTAAGGCTCTATTAGGTGAGATTGAGAGAGACACATATCAGGTATCCAATATCACAATGGTTAGGGAACCCACATGGGAGGAAGCAGATCCCTTTTAAAAATCTTTCTCCTTATCAGGCACTTGAAGAGGGTCTGCTACATCCCTAACTGCTAGGATAAAAGTTTAGGGGTTTCTTCCACCTAATTCCTTCTTCTTTTCTCCCCTCTGTCACCATGGTTTCTTGGGGTATGTCTTCACTACCCGCCGATCCGGCGGGTAGCAATCGGTCTATCGGGGATCGACTTACCGCGTCTCGTGAGGACACGGTAAAATCGATCCCTGATCGCTCTGCCGTCGACTCCGGAAATCCACCTCGGCAAGAGGCGGCAGCGGAGTCGGCGGCAGAGCGGCAGAGGTCGACTTTCCCCCGTCCTCACCGCCAGGTAAGCCGACCTAAAATACGCAACTTCAGCTACGGTATTCACGTAGCTGAAGTTGCGTATCTTAGGTCGGAACCCCGCTGTAGTGTAGACCCAGCCTTGGCAACTTAGGTGGGGTTAGAGACTTCCCAGCTGAGAATCCCAAGGCGAAGGAGATGCCTGCCCCCAGAGGAGATAGGGAATGAACTCCTGTGATAGCTGCAGGGTTCAGAACACAATCCCCTGCTTGGCCTTTCCCATTGGCTAAAGAACCATCTGTCATATTGACTTTTTAAAATCCCATTCTTAGGTGCCTTTGTCTCCCCTTTCACTGTGTAGGGAGCCTGGCCGCGCAATTCAGGCTCTGGAAACTAAGTGATTAAAAAAAGTCACCTAAAAGTTATCCACTACAATGCTCAGCATTAGAACAGCTACGTCCCTTTGTGAATCTAACTCTGGGTGTAAATCCACCTCGTTCCATCGATTTAATGGCACTATGAACTGGGAACCTGGCCCATAGTGTCCATATTCTAAAGTGATTTTACATTCCTCAAATTTCCCTCATCGTTGAGTTGGAAAGACCGGTGTATCATTGAGTGTCCACTTAAATCCTGAACATAATAGGAAGTGGTGCTGTCACTATGCACCCCAGTGAAATTCACCCTTGAATGCAGCACCACAGCTGGTGGAAAGCAACATAACTCCACTGAAAGAAACAGGGCTACATTGATATATCTGAAAGTGTTGTTACATTAAGATTTTTGCAGAAAAATATTTCATTTTTTTGTTATGGGGGGAAGATTCCATTTCAATTTGACGTCTCAATATGAAATGAATTTTTTGTTTCAAAATGTCCAATTGAAATGAAAACTTGCATTTTGAATTGATATTATCACTTATATTGACAAAATTGACAAAAAAAATCTCAAACTCGTAAATAAAAATGTCATTCAATATGAAAGTTTTCATTTGAAATGGACACTTCAAGAGGAAATGTTTTGTTACAATCA